CTCCGAGATCACATCTTGGCGGCGGGGTTTAGGGTTTTTAGGGGTTTAGGGTTTAGGGTTTAGGGTTTAGGGTTTTAGGGTTTAGGGTTTAGGGTTTTAGGGTTTAGGGGTTTAGGGGTTAGGGTTTCAGGGTGTTTGGGGGTTTAGGGGTTTGATAGGGGTTCGAAGTTAGAGGGCTTGGACGTTAGTAATCATTATAATCGGGATCTGGGTATCATGTGCTAGCATGAGCAGACGGAACCCAGCAGGGAATACGACTACTGGTTGTACTTCGGGTGTCGCAGTTTCGCAGTCTTAAACCCTAAACCCATAAACCCACAAACCCTTAAACCCTTAAACCCTTAAACCCATAAACCCATAAACCCCTAAACCCCTAAACCCCAAACTTTGATAGGGTGCAGGACGGCTCTCAGGGATCCTGAGATCGGTCCCACATGTTTCGATCCTTCAAACAAAAAATCCCCCATGACGGAACCTAAACGAAAGCGTAAAATAAACCCTGCACCCTGAAGCCGAAACCCTCAGACCCTAAACCCTAAACTAAAAAATCGAAAATAGACCCTAAACCCTGAAAACTAAACCCCTAAACCCTAAAGCAGTGAAGGGGCTCTGCGGGTTCCTCTACAAACCGCAAAAGGATTTAGCGTTCAGGGTTTGAGGGTTTGAGGGTTGAGGGTTTGAGGGTTTAGCTTTCAGGGTTTAGGGTTCGAGGGTTTAGGGTTTGTGGGTTTGGGGTTCCAGGTTTAGGGGTTAAGGGGTTCTGGGGCTTAGGGTTTAGAGGCCTGAGAAATAGTCCCCTCCCGTTACAGGGACTGAAGGAGGGATCCTAACATATAGGACCCTTAAAGAAAGGGTGTCTATTCATCAAGGATCCACGACATGAGTGGTTTTCAAAATTATGGTCCCTTTTTGGGTCCTTATTATAATACGGCACCTAGTATTTAGGGTACCCCAAAAGGGACCCTAATTTGGACAACTACCCATATCCATTAGTCCTAGTACTAGTCTCGCCTCGAAGACAGCAAAGAGCTGAGAGTGGCGAGTTGTTGGATTTGACCCTAAACCCTAAACCGTGATCCCTAAACCCTAAACCCTAAACCCTGAACCCTCAACCCTAAACCCTGAACCCTAAACCCTAAACCCTAAACCCTGAACCCTGAACCCTAAACCCTAAATCGTTTACGGCTTTGGGCGCAGTGCTTGGGATTAACTGGCGGTCGTGGCTTGGGAGGCGTTGGTTCTGGGGCCTCTGAGGTTTCAACGCCCGAAACAGGCAATCCCGGAAAGGAACTAAACCTAGGGTTTTTGGAGTTCAGGGTACAGGGTTTTAGAGTTTAGGCTTCAGGGTTTTAGGGTTTAGGGTTTTCAGATTTAGGGTTTGGTACGAAAAGCTGAGGCAAAGCCTAGCAGTGCTCCTTGAAGGCTTAACGAAGGGCCTGTTGACTCTGGACCCCGAAACCCTTGCCGAAACCCTAAACCCTAAACCCTAAACCCTAAACCCTAAACCCTAAACCCTAAACCCTAACTAACCCCTAAACCCCGAGCTCTAAACCCCAAAATGCGCCAAAGGGCTGTGGTTCCATGACGAACAGTTGTTCGAGTTCATGATGCCCCAGGCATAGAAGATCTGAGCGGCTAGAAGGGTTTAGGGTTTAGGGTTTAGGGTTCAAGGGTTTAGGGTTTAGGGTTTAGGGTTTAGGGTTTAGTGTTTAGGGTTTAGGGTTTAGGGGTTTAGGGATTGGAGTTCGGGTTGGAGGGTTTAGGATATCTATGGTCGAAGGTTTAGGACTTCTGGTCCAGGAACCTACACCCTACACACTAAACCTGCATGCCTCAATCCTGAACCCTAAACCTTAAACCCCTAAACCCGTACACCATGCTTGAAAGTTCATGGCTCGTTTTGTGGGTGGCTATAACTGCGGATATAGGAGTATTCAAAGGGATCATATCTTTGCAGGATGAGTGCAACCCTAATCCCGCGACCCTACACCCCGAAACCCTGAAACCTAAACCTAAACCCTTTCAATATATCCCACCTCCTGCTCGTAGTCGGGACTCACAGCCGCGTTTGACTCTTGAAGTCGCCTCCAGGCTAGCTCTGCCTGGATAGGGCAACTTGATCCGCATGGGCCGGCACAGCCGAAATCTCAAGATTCGGGGTTTAGGGTGTGGTTATACTTATTTTGATGGGTGCTCGCCGGCGCATCACAAACCCAGGCCGTTTGCACTCTTGGCTAGCTGGTGCGGTGTCCGAGCACGGGTATGGCATCACTGACGGGACTGCCGTACAAGGTGCGATGAGAAAAAGGCCTCGACAGAATGTGCTGGTCATGTAGGACGATCATGCTTGGAGGATCATGGGACTTAGAAAGTAAGGTTATAAGTCCCCTAATTGGGGTTGTAAGTAAATATAAGTACAGTTACCTGAATTATAGCCCGACTTACTAAGTCCCATGATCCTTTAAGTGAGCAACGCTTGGCAATGCCGGGGCTCTTGCATCACAGGAGCGGCGGCAAAGAAAGTCGAAATGGAAGCTACGAGGCGATCAGCAAAAGAACCCTAACGGGGTTTAGGGTTCACAGCCTACTTGGAGGATCATGGGACTTGAGCAAGTAAGGTTATAAGTCCCTTAACTGGGGTTATAAGTAAGTATAAGTACAGTTACCTTCATTATAACCCCTACTTACCAAGTCCCATGATCCATTTAAGTAGGGTTCGTATCATAGGGTTCAAGGCATATTCTGGGGTTGTATCATAGGGTCAAAGCGTAAAGCGTTGCTACCATTCGCCGATCAGGGTGTGAAGTTTAAGCTCTAGGTTGAGGATGTAGGTTTTAGAGTTTAGGAACGAAGCTCTAGGAATCATAAGAAAATCTGGTTTCTCAATGTTGACGGTTGACTGCTCGATCCGGAGCTGCTGAACCCTAAACCCGAAACCCTGACCGTGTTAAATTCAGTACTTGGAGGATCATGGGACTTAGTAAATAAGGTTATAAGTCCCTTAATTGGGGTTATAAGTAGATACAAGTATAGTTACCTTACTTATAACCCTGCTTACTAAGTCCCATGATCCTTTAAAAGTAGGGGTTCAAAAGGTTTGTCAGCTGCTGGCTCAAGCGTAGGATTTTGTGTGTTGGGTTCGTTTGATTTGGGGATAACCTCTTTCGGGGGCTGGCAAAAAAGCCTGCGCCTGCTGCGCTGTTGTAGCCTCGCTGCCCAGCGCCCTTCAAAAGAGCCGTTTCTACTTGGAAGGCCGTGGGACTTAGTAAGTAAGGCTCTACGTACCTT